TGGAGTCCAACACAAACCATGCTCATTTGCTTATTGAGATCGATATTTCATCCATTGTAGCTTGCGCAAGTAATCCCATCGCTATCTTGACCTGCTTTGCTCGTAATCGTGTTATCAGCTCTTCTTTGACAGCCAACAAATTCTTGCCCATTATTGCCTTCATTCCTTAAATAATATCAATTAGACTAGGAAAATAATGAAAGTTATGGGATTGTATTGGAGTACAGTCTATAACTTGAAGTAATAACACTATCAAAACCATTTTGACATTGTACAGTCTATAACTTGAAGTAATAACACTATCAAAACCATTTTGACATTGATGTTCCTAGTAAAGAGGAGTGTATGTCGTTAAGGTTATCGAATTGAGAATTGTGTTTAATATTGATAGTAATACAAGTTGTCTTTTGGCGTTAGGTGAAAAGGTGACTTGACTACACGCATTAGAAAGTTCACACACAAAGACATAAAGGTAAGTAAAAATTCATTTACAATTATGATGCAAGAACATAGTATTTGTGAAATATTCTCTATATAGAGTATTGTTGTATATGATGGTTATGATGATTGCGCATATGGCTCTTAAATATATTGATTGAGCATGTTAATCCTCGAGCATGTTTACGTGCATTCACAACATATGTCCATCGTTAAAAATCTAGAATGCACAACATGATTAGAAAAATGAATTTACATTATAAAATGTTTTATTGACCGCTACTAGGGTACTGAGGCATATGAGATATGCTTATATGATATGTTTTGGCATTGTGGGTGATACTTTCTAGGTAATTGCAAAGGTAGCTATGGGATGGGCCTTTGACGATCACGGGGGTGGAACACTCGATTGTACCTTTGTGATGTTATGATGTTGGTACTGTCGAGTGGGATACTTCTCAGATGATCATAGGGGTAATTGGGAAATGTGCCTCTAGTGGTTATAAGAGGCTAGTCCGCTCGTCAATGTCGATGTCATAATGGCCATTTGATTATTGATATTGATATTGAGCATAGCTCTATCCGGTGCATAGTAAGTGGGATAAGGGCCCAATGAAAGGAAAAGATTTCAAATGAATCTATTTCCAGTTAACTTTGATGAATATTTGAATATGATAAATTTTAGCATGATGTTTTAAAGGAATGACATGGCAGCATATACTTATATTACTTATACTCATAGCATGCTTGATTTTTTTCTTATTAAGCATTAGCTTATGTAGTTCTTGTATTGTAGGTGAGCATGGAACTTTATAGAGGATAAGGCAAGCTGTGAAGCTCTTACGGGATTCCAAAATTTGATGTACATGGATGATGACTTGTAGGATTGTATTGTGGGCCGTTGTTTTTGGTCTTGCAATCCGTTGTATTATATTGCTTGAAAATCCTGTATCGTATATATATGACTTTTGAAATGGTATGGTAGATACTTCCGTAACCTCAAACTAAATGTGTTGTGATTTGGATATAT